TTTATATAGTAATTTATTCATAAGAATATATACTGGGGTATATATTACTATATAGTATATGTAAACACTGTGTGCACTGATATAAATAAATTCCTACATCTGCTGCTATAGATGATGACAAATAATTGGGGAATTCCTACTATAAACTCTTGTTTAATATAAAATGAATGATTAAATTATAAAACCATTATCCTCATAATCATCTAGTCAAGAGTCACTGCCAGGCACTGAAACCAATGAATAAAATTTTGATGAGTAGTTACCAGATTACAGTAACCTGGAGCAGAATAAGATCAAGTTCAGAAACCTGAGGCACACGTGGAACCTTCTCCCAGCTGCTGTCAGCTGATCCTTAGGCCATCTTGCTAAGTGCTGTATCTGAAACAGAGTGAAAACCTTTCATTCATATATTTTTTCACTGACAATTTCACACCTTTACATAATGCAATTTGTTCAGATTACCCTGTAGTATCTCTCCTTATATCCTTTGATGCCCTGCGTGCCAACAAGTCTCCCTCTTACTTTCATGACTACTTTCTGTGACCACTGGGCTTAATTAGAGTTGCTTGAATGACAAAGGTGAAGGGTTAGTTCCTGGAGCATGGGCAACGTGCCAGGAAAGACACCAATGAAGAAAACGGCTCTTGCTCCCCCAGCAGACATTAACTGCCAATAGTCCCTTCATCTAGCACTGACTTATGGCTATAAACATAAAAATTTAGAAGGTAGTTGGACAACAACTAGAATTACTAGAAGGTAGTAATTCAACAAAACCACAGAGAGAGGTTCCCAACTAGAAAATGGGATCTTTCCAGCATGGGCTTTTGACCAGGTTTATAATACTGGGCATGAATTTTCTCTTGTGGAGCAGGCCTAAAATCCAATCAGGAAGTGTTACTTCTGTCCACACTAGTTGTGCCACTCTTGTATTGTTGGGCACATCTTGCCCACCATGGTGTTTGTGTAGTCCACAAGAAGGTAGAACATTTGGTGACAATTCTCCCATAGAGGCCTGCATAGCACCTACTGGCACTATGAACACTCTCCAACAGAGAGGATGCTCCTGGCTTGTAGTCAGAGGCTGCTTGTTTGTTTCCCGGATGTCCAGACTTCCAAAATAATCACACAGAAACTATATTATTTGCAATACTGTTTGACCAATAGCTTAGGTGTATTTCTAGCTAGCTCTTATATCTTAAATTAACCCATCTCTATTAATCTGTGGATCACCACGAGGTCATGGCCTACTGGCAAAGTTTGGGCTCTGGCAGAGCGTCTGTCTCCTGTGGTGGCTACACGGCTTCCCTCCACCCCCCCCTACTCTCTCCTCCTCTCTCTGCTTGGAACTCCCACCTTGCCCTATTCTGCTAAGTCACTGACTGAAACAGCTTTATTTATTAACCAATAAAAGCAATGCACAGACAGACTGACTGACACACACCACTGACTCAATTCTAGATTGCTTTCTTTATGTCCTGCAACCAAAGTACGTGGTGACTTCAGAAATGGGACATTACTGTCTAGTTTTGGCAGGCAACCAAGAGGGACAACAATGACCTAAATTGTCTTGGGGGCTCCTGTGGCCTCCCTGACCAGTAATGCATAATAAAGTGGCATCCTACACCTGGCACTGGCTACTCCCTAATAACCGGTGACTTCTGGGGACAGTATTATTCGCTATGAAAGATACCTCCATTCAAACTTCCTTTTATTATTTTTTTTGTTGATTATGTGTATTGCGTAGGTGGAAGCCATGAGGGCAGCTGAGTGTTGGTTCTCTCCTTCCAGTTCATCCTCAGGACTCGAAGCAAATGCTGTCTCCTGCTGAGCCCTCCCCAGTTAACCCTTCCCTCCCCCAGCATTCACCCCACCTTTCATATCAGATGTTGAGAACAGTCGCTTTTGTTGAATATGGCTGCATTGCAGGAATTGTATTGGAGGAAGAGGATTATATGTATATTGACCCAATCATAACATCTGATACATTTTCCCCAGTTGTATCCTTTTCAAACAGGAAAAAAAATTCCAGAATTGAGAAAATCATCTATAAAATTGTCAAATAATCAATAAGAGGCAGAACCTAGAACTCAGAGCCTTGCCTTCTGTTTCTTGTCTGTTTGTTTTTGGTTTTGGTTTTTGGATTTTCAGGGTACCTTTTCTCTGTAGCTTTGGAGATATCCTGGAATCAGCTCTTGCAGATCAGGCTGGCCTCGAACTCACAGAGATATGCCTGAGTGCTGGGACTAAAGGCATGGCACCACCATCACCTGGTCACTGCCTTCTGATCTTGCAGTCAGCATTGTTCTAAGTTGCTGTGTGGCTCTGAGTCCTCTTAGAATGCTGGGCTTCCGAGGTGTGCAGAGTAACGAAGCCACAGGGCCATTGGTCCGTTTTCTGTTTTGTGTTGTTTGAGGCAGGTTTTAACCTCACACTCACACTCCTGCCTTAGCCTCTGGATCCTGGGATCGTAGGCAGGGCCTACCACATAAGGCTTCCAGAAGCATTCTTCAGCAAACGCGTTGGTGGTTCCTGCTTTTTGTTTGGTTTGTTTTCACCCAATTTACTAAGCACTCGGCTTCCTTTTCCTCATCTATTAAATAGAGACAGCAACACAGTCATGTGTTATGGGGACCAGTTCTGAGAACTCAGATCTTAGATGATCTCATCACTGTGCAGACCCAGAGCTGGATGGCACGGGTCGGTTTCTTAAGTGCCCGCCCTAGAACACAGCCATTGCCGTCTCTATTGACAGAGTGTCATGTGCATGCCTGTGTGTGCTGTGCTTGCCTATGACTGACACGTGGTAGATATTTCTTTACAGTCTTCACTACAGATAAGTGTGTGGTGGGTTGAGCTAATGCAATATGAAAGCTAGACTGTTTGAGTTCCACTGTAATCTCTCGGGACCACCACTGGATATTCAGTCTATGTAGCATGAACATAACTGTCCTTAACAGACATGCAATATGAGTACTAGATTAGGTCACGTGTTAAAGCACATGACACAGTATCAAATGAGCCTCTTTTAAAGGAAGTGGTGGTAATTGTTCAGCTCACTAGCAGGATTTTAAAAGCCATTGCTTGCTTTTGACTGCCCATCGGGGACTAGAGCCTCCAAAGGTCCCAGGAAAGATTCGTGTGTAGGCAATCGAACACCCTGAAGGATTTTATTAGCCAGAGAGCTGTGATCTGGCCGGCCATGGGCAAGAGCAAAGCAGAGGAAAGAGAGCAATCATTGGTGAGGGGAGGAGCAGCAGGAAGAGATGACAGGCCCTGGGTTCTGGAGAGGACTGTGGTAGGGAGGAGGGAGCATAGGACAGACAGCACAGCCCAGACTGCTGGCTGGATTGAACAGGAGGGAAGGTGGAGAGTTTAGACTGGGCCTCAGCCTGTGGCCTGCTCCCTGACTCTTCGGAGTGATGGCAGTATGGCTGAGAAGCAGGAGGAAGGCACTGGCAGGTGCTGGCTGGAGGGAATTCGGAATATCTAAGAGATGGTTGAGGAGTCATAGCTCAGTACAGGATCTGAACATCTCTGGACATTGAGATCTAGACTGCGGATCGGCTCAGTGCTAGGGAGCCACTGAAGCCATGCAGGAATAGAGTTCTGTAGGGAATGGAGGCAGGCTGAGGAGAGACAACAGTGCTCCGAGCTGGCAAAGGAAGATGAAGGAGTCTAAAGGCAGCAGCTCTCAGGAAGACGTGAGATTCGAGATGAGGGTTTGCTGCCAGGAAACAGGATGTACCCCAAGAGAACGAAGCTCAGAGGGATTGGGAAAGACCTGTGAGTTTTGAATTTGTGACCTTCAGAGGAGCAGATGTTGAAAATGAATCCAGACTGCCTTATTAGAAAAGAGAGATCACTGTGAATGAGTCCAGAGATGCAGGCAGCTCAGCCCCTGGCCACCTCACACCACCATTCTTTATTATGGTGGTAGACTGTCAGTCCGGTGGGATAGTTTGGCCCTGCAGAGCAGGCCTGCACCAGCCATGACTACACACTACAGTAGGGAATCTTACATGTGTATCCCTTTTGGGACCTCCTTCCTGTATTGCTAACACACTTGGGCCTCCTCAGACGGGCCTTGAAGGTAGCCCCGGAGTAGACCATACAGCATTAGCCCTCAGCGTGATCCTTTCGTAATATCAGAACCAGTTTCTTTCCATACCCTCCCATCACACCGAAGGTTTTCCAACTTGTTTCTATCCTTGACCCAGAATAAAATAGTCCGATATGTGCAGTGTGCACATGTGGATATAACTTAAAGAAACGTCTCATGAGATGTAACTTAGTGCTGTGAGAACACTTGTGTTTCCGACACTCTCCCTTTACACCCTAATCTGTCTCGTTCTTTAGATGCTGCTCCCGGCCCACTGTGTTCATTTTGTCACTCATAAACTGACTTAGTGAAACCTAACTGGGCTACGAAAGGTTCAAAGGGAAAGGCCTCAGTGTCCTTGTCCCCCATCTCCCTTTGCCCCAGAACCCCGTACCTCGAGGCTGACAGGACCTCCCGTAAAAGCCTCTTAGTGCCACTGAGAGCTGCTCCTGTACAACAGGCGGCTAGCCTGGGGCTGATTTGAATTTCCACAGTGGCCACCGGTGTGCAGTTAGAAGCTGTATACTGGACATCAACGAAGGTGGAAGGCTCCCCTTTCAAGCCAGCTGCATAGGCTACTCTGCCAGGAGGATTCTGGGGGCATCTAACAGCTGGAAGCATTTTCATTTTGTGTCTCTTGGACCTAATAGCCCCAGTATGAGAAGTATGGCCAGCCTATCACATGGGCCAGGTTCCCCCTCGCCATTCAACGGGACAGTGGAGCGGGGCTGCCATGTGCTGTCTTTTGTTTCCTTCTCAGCCCTCCCTGAAGGTAGACTACACCCTCAAGAAACACTGAATAATTGCCTACTTCAACAGAGACTACATTGGGATCCACCCCCTCCCTCCCCCCTGCCACCCCCAGCATCTTATTCACAATAGCTTGTCTACTTTCATTCAGGAATTGCCAGGATTCGGGATTGGCCTGGGCTACAGCATGACGATGTTGCCCGAGGAGTAGCAGAAGTCTTTGTCAGCTGCCAAGAGCAATCCACCACTGTCATCAACACTTGAGTGCCCAGACGTCTTCGGAAGGCCTGATCCACCGCCTATCTGCAATGAGCCAGGCCCTGAGGTGGGCCTCGGCTTCTCCCTGGTGAACAGAACTCCACCCGTGGCCTCAGGCAATCACGCTCAGCTGAAAGATGAGTGAAGGACGATGGGTCTCTCTCTCCTCAGAAGAATTTGACCAACTCCAGAAATACGCTGAATGTAAGTGCTGCCATCCACAGACGCGCGCGGGGTGAGGCTTTTCCTCTTCTGGGAGATGAGTTCCGGGGGGCGGAGTTATTGCGGAGCCCTGGAGAAGAGGCTCAGCAGCTACAGTCACTTGATAAACACAGAATTAGGGCTTTCAGTATAAAAACACAATCCCTCCTAAGCTCTTGTGAATAATCCACACTCACTACAGAATTTGGAGTGCACACTGGGGAAAAGAAGGCCGGCTTTAAAGCCCCCAGTGCACTCAGCCAGCCCTGCACAACCCATAGCTGTGATTGGCTGAGTCCTGCACCTTCCTTCCCAGCCTATGTGGTCCTCTTAACAAGATCCTAGTGTTTTCTTGGGCCAATTATCCCTTAACTACAGTTCTAAAGGACAACAGGTGCATGGTAAGGGTGCCCCACGGTCACTCACGTCAATCCATTCATGTGTTTTGAAATAAGAGACTGAGTTCTAACATGTAATTCTCTCGATTTTGTTCTGGAAAGGCCCAGGATTTCATCTGATGTCACAGCTTACCACCCCTGAGCCTCCACATCCTCCCCTGTGATGTCACAGCTTACCACCCCTGAGACTCCACATTAACCCCTATGACGTCACAGCTTACCACCCAGGAGCCTCCACATCCTCCCCTGTGACGTCACAGTTTACCACCCTTGAACCTCGCATCCTCCCCTGTGATGCCACAGCTTATGACCCCTTAGCCCCCACATCCTCCCCTATGATGTCACAGCCTACCACCCCTTAGGCTCCACATTCTCCCCCTGTGATGTCACAGCTTACCACTCCTGAGCCTCCACATCCTCCTCTCACCCCTGTGACCTCACATCTTACCACCCTTGAGCCTCTACATCCTCCCCTGTGATGTCACATCTTACCACCCCTGAGCCTCCACATCCTTCTTGGTATAATGAGAGGAATGGACCAGGGCCTGGGGGATGACTTGGTTGGTAAGGTACCTGCAGCCGGTACGAGGACCTGAGTTTGGATCCCCAGCATCTGTGTGAAAAAGGCAAGAAGGGAAACTCAGGTGCTGTGGCAGACACCTGTAATCCTAGCTCTGGGAAGAGAGAGAGGGAGATCTCTGCAACCCATTGGCCAGCCAGTCTGGATGAACCAGCAAGCACCAGGGACAGACTCAAATTTTAAAAAAAGGGAATGTGGAGAGTAACTGGGGAAGATACCTGATATTGACTTCAGGCCTCCATGTGCACACATACACATATATGTATGCATATACAGCTACATACATGTGTGTGCGTACACACACACACACACACACACACACACATGAGTGGACATACCCTGAGTTCTTATTCCGGTCTAATGATGTGTGGCTTCATCCATCCCCAAGACCGATGGGAGCCCATGGTGTACTGGCCAGTCTTGTGCTGGTGTTCTGGAACCCCTTCTAACCTCACTGGGTTTACAGAAATTATGCAGTGTTGACAGAGAACAAGGGTAAATTCAATCTATCTCAGCCTGCACTAGAGATAAAAAGCAGCACAAAAACAGGGCCTGTCCTGTGGGGTGCAGAGTCCTGTTAAGCAGTCTGATCTGTGCTCGAGACACAAGTAGAGCACAGCTCAAAGACTCAGAAACACAACGCGCCCTCGAACCTCTGGCTAACAAGGCACATAAAGGCCCCAGGAGCTGAAAGAGAGGAAAGAAGTATGGTAGCCATCTGGAACACAGTGTAACACAGTGTGGGTGATTAGATAACAGAAATCGGTTGGCTCACAGCTGTGGAGGCCCCAAGTCCAAAACCAAGACTTTGGCAAGTTGGCTTTTCTGTGGGCTAGAAAGAATGGCCTCTCCTGGGCTTGTGCCCACAGCTTGTTGCTAGCTGGGTTCTCCCCCAGTCTCCTCCCATGGCATGTGTGTGTATGAGCGTGTGTGTGTGCCCAAATTTCTCGCTTTTATAAGGATACAGTGTTAATGAACTGGATCCATCAACTCCAGCATGACCTCTTCTTAACTGCTTAGATCTACAATAGCCCTATCTAAGGTCACATATTGAGAGTCTAAGGGTTTTAATGCATAAGTAGGGGACCAGACTGAAGCCACAGGAGAAGATCTAGTGGAGTGAACTCTAAGCCAAGTCAGAGGGTCCAGAGGGACAAGGTGAGCAGAGAGTTAGGCAGAGATCTGGACTGGATCGGGAGAAAGGGCAGAAGGATAAGGAGGGACAGAACTCACATCAAGCTGGCTTTTCATGTCAACGTGTGGGCCTTAGGCCAAGTTGGTGAGCTACAGAGCTGTGGAATCTGGAGGCTGTCTATAGAGCAGCTCACATCAGGAAGCTGCCAGGCCATGAATCAGGGTCTTGGTTGGTATAAAATCTAGTCTGAATCAAGGAATAAGATTATAGGGAGGAATTCAAGCCAGTTTGGGGGAAGTGTGATGAAAATGTTATCCACATACATAGAGCAAAAGAAAGTCAATGGAGGTCCCTCAAAACTGAGCTCTGAATGTAGCAAATGGGGGACCTCAGGGTTGGTAGAGACAGTTTGGGATGGTGAGGGTCAAGGTAACAATGGCACACTCGCTTACCCATCTGTGTGTGCCAGGCTCTTAGGAGGATGCACTTCCTGTCTTCACCAGGGAGGAGATGGGACTCAATGACATTTCCATGTGACAGGTGTTACGAAGGCTGAGTTGGTCTTGCAAGGTTCAGTCCTACCCAGCTGGGATGTCCTTGTACAATCTCACACTTAGGCACAGGCTGAGAGTCTTATGGAGTATGGGAGGAGTTGGAGAAAGAACCAGAATCCCTTGCCAGAATTCTCCTGGGAGAGATTCCAGCACATAGAGGTCTGAGTAGAACTCAGGGTTAGGTTACGGTCTGACCTGGGAGTCCTATAGAAACAACAACGGGGAGGGGGAAGGAATGAAAGAATAAAGACACATTAAAGATTAGAGTGGTAGGAGGTAGAAGGGGGTAGAGAGAAGTTTAGGGCATGTCCTCCTTCAAGGAGGACAAAAGGGTCAGAAGACAGGAGAACTAGAAGAATAACCAGCTTAAAAAGAGCCCAGGGCTGGTGGGGAATGTTGATGCACACCTGTGGATCCGAGCACAGAATGCCGGGCTGAGTGCTCCAGTAATGCTGTGCAAACAGGAAAGGGGGAAAAAAAGATTAAATTCTCAGAAAATGATTAATCCTTAGAGGAAACCTTGAGAAAGTCGCTTCCACCAATTTTAGGTGCATTCTGGTGTTCAGTAAGATCGCATTGCCATAGCAACCAACTCTTCCAAAACCACATAAACAGAAGCCTTACAATAGCAAAATGATGAAGGACACAGCCCAAGAACTGGGATCTTTGGGGGCTAGGGAGGAGGTGTGCTCCACTCGTCTTACATAAATGTGCACCTTCTCTGGAGGCCTTTGATAGGAGAAGCTCTCTTAAAGCTGCTCCTAGGACAGCGATTCAAGTCTATGCCATAATCAGTCACGCATGAGCGTATGTCTATACTTGATGGTAAGGCAACAGCAAAGGATGTTTATCGAAAAGCTAATGTGGTGGTAAGAAATTTTTATTATAAAATAAAAGCAAACTGTAGTCCTAGCTCTCAGGAAATAGCAGCAGAAAGATGGCAAGATGGAAGCCACTTTGGGCTATGGAGTTGATTTCAGGCCAGAATGGACTATCACCTGCCGTGGTGTAATGAAGAAGCAAATGGAATGCCGGTTTCATTTGTTTCAGTTAAGCTTCAAGAAATTAAATAAAAATATCTTTTAGAGGTATTCAATTCAATATAGGATAGATAGGTGATAGATAGATTAGATAGAGAGAAGAGAGAGAGCGAGAGAGAGAGAGAGAGAGAGAGAGAGAGAGAGAGAGAGAGAGAGATTGGTATCAATTGAATCAGAACAAAAAAGTTGAGTACATTTGAAAACAGTGAACCCATCCACTGTGCTCTTACAAAGTGTGTTTTGTTAGAGTTAGATCACAACAAAGTGTGTGACTCCAAGCTGCAGATACAGTTCCAAACTTTTCCGTGTTCCTCATGGCGTTGGAGAACATGTGCAGGCTAGAGTTGTAGGACAGTGTAAGGCCTAAATAGGCATCGGCAGTACCCTGCTGTCTGTAATGCTAGCCAGCAGGGCATGGCTGCAAATGCTTATGCAGTCCCGCCCTGCAGAAAGCCCATTTAGTCCCTTCCAGCTAAAAAGCATGGGATAAATCTGGACTAGCTGAACATAGCGGACAATGAGGAATACTGAGAACTCAAGAACAATCGCAGTGGGTTTTTGATCCTACTGCACGTACTGGCTTTGTGGGAGCCTAGGCAGTTTGGATGCTCACCTTACGACACCTGGATAGAGGTGGGCAGTCCTTGGGCTTCCCACAGGTCAGGGAACCCTGATTGCTCTTCGAGCAGATGAGGGAGGGGGACTTGATCGGGGGGGGGGGGGAATGGGAAGCGGTTGCGGGGAGGAGGCAGAAATCCTTAATAAATAAATAAATTAAAAAAAATAATAATAATAATAAAAAGAAGGGAGTCGCCCGCTGGATGTCTTTCCACCTACATCTCATTAAGCTCAGCCTCTTCTCCCTCTGTGAGGATTAGGAATCTGCCTACACAGCCTCACAGAGTGTGTGACTAGGGAGAAATGTCTTTGGAACAATGGCACTTGGAGTTTAGTAACCCTTGAATCTTCTACACAGCTGTTCAAATGTAGATGAACTTTTTCATCAGGACCACCAGCTCCCAAATAATGACATGGAGACTTCTTATTAATTATGGAAGCTTGAACTTAGCTTAGCTTAGGCTTGTTCCATTAGCTCTTATAATTTAAATTAACCCATATCTTTTAATCTACATTCTTTTAGGTGGCTCTTTATACTGCCCATCCTGCTTCCTCAACATCTGTCTAGCAACTTCCCCTGTCTTCTTCCCAGAGCTCTCTCTGTCTAGAAGGCCCGCCTATACCCCCTGCCTAGCTATTGGCCATCTAGCTTTTTATTAAACCAATTACAGTGACACA